TAAAATGCTTGACTTGGTAGTCTATTTATAGGCTTTGACATGCCCCCTTTTCAAAGGTTGTGTCTGCTTCAAAAAGATAAAGGATGCAATTTTTGTTCAACAGTCATATCCTAACCTTGTGGAAAAGCTGGAGGAAACCGAAACGGTTTCCAAGTGATTCGAACAAAATGAGGCGTCTGATAGTTGGTATCAATGCCCACATGTATCAGTTCTCTTTTTTTTTTAACCAATGTGTCTTTCGAAATTCTTGTTTGAATTCAAACAAGAACCGGTCAAACCCATTCAAGAACTATTGCAGACTGCTAATATATAGCCAATTCAAGACTAACCCATTCTTTCTATTTTTAATTTCCATTCACTTGAATATTTAATATTTAAATATTAATAATACTAATATTTAAATTATTAAATTTCTAACAAGAGATGTATTAAATTGAATTTAACAATGTATAGATGCAACGGAAAGCTCGTCAATAGCAATTGAAATGATGGGGAACTAACATTTCACGAATGCATAGAGGCGTTAAGTAAACACTATGGTAGAAGACTAATAGCTATGAAAAAATGCTCTTAAAATATCTTGGAATAGCCTTACAAAAACATATATAAACATAGTGTTTCGAGGCCTAACTTCCTAAAACTATGAATCCACGGTTCACTCCCTTAAATTTTATGAGACCAAAGCACCACATAGCAAAACCAATGTGATAAAAGAATACACTTAATTCATACATTTCCAACAATATTCATTCACTTCGAATATATTTTACAAAATAAGCTAGAGCGTTGAGGTAAACATATTTGATGAAAGCCCTTATATAAAAGGTAGTCTTCAGGTTTCAAAAATATAAATAGACCAACAACAAAATTTAGACTCTCCGGAGGAAATGCCTCGGCCACCTTGAAATGTAAAAAATAGGTAATGTCATTCACTCAAAGATTTTTAGAAAGAGGGAGAGAGAAAGAATTGTCACTTGTCACATTTAAAAAAAGATAAAGTTATATGTCGTTTGAACTTTAATTTCATTGTGCTTGTGTTGGGTCGGGCTAGACCAACATGTTGTACTTGAAATCTCTACTTGTGTATTATATTATATAATAAAACCCATTAATTTCATTGAAAGAAGACATGTATTTGCCTTGTGTGCTGTCAAAGACCTAAAAATTCTGGGCTATAAAGACTTGTTTTTTTAATTCTAATGGAGAAGGGAGATGAGGCCAGAATTTTATACAATTGTCTTGTCGCATATGATACAATTACAATGTAAACATAGATATACGAATATAAACATAACCAATAATTACTTCAAATTGATTGGGCTAGCCTGACCCAACACGAGCAGAGTTGGCTTAAACTTAGGATGTAATAGAACAACTTTATTTTTTGGGGTCGAGCCTAAGCATGGGTCCAGCCTATACCTTAAAAGTTATATTAGTTTATTAATAGTTCCTTCATAAACATAAACAGCATGAAAGAGGAGTTACTAGTGGAGGACGTACTTGGGGACAAGCGTGTATACACGATACTTGGCTAGTGCACTCTTGCACGTAAACTCTAAGGTGTGTTGTAGTCTGTATGGAAAGGAAATTAAAAGAAGGAAACAGTAGGTAATTACTCTTACAATTTTAGTTAGCCCATTCTAGTCTCTGACGGGTTAGATACCACAATCTTATCCTTTACAACAAGATTTGCAATCCAAGTTACAAAAAATGTTTTAAGTATAGTAATCGTAATAGCATTTTGCTAAAAATACTAATGATAGTGTTGGAGGCCTGACCTCCTAACACTGTGAAGCCTCGGCTTGCTCCCTGAGCTTTCTTGAAACCCAAGCACCACATAGCAATACCAAGTTGTAACCAATAAAATAGACATACCTAATGTTATTGAGTTTTCATTCTAGAGCGAGTGACTGTGTGTGTAAGAAAGAGATAGAACTAACTAGGTGTGAGTTAGATAACATTGTGATTGTCTTGAAAGGATGGGAGACACATAATTGGAAGTTGAAGTTATCTGCACAAACAAACAAACAGAAAATCAGTTCCGAAGAAAAAATAGATGTACAACACAATCACATACTCAAGAATGAGAGGAAATGATCATTTAAAAGAACATGTTACAATGGCAAGGATAGGCTTTCTTTTCATCCCAATGCTATAGTCAAATGAATCAAACAAAGTGCAACAAACATACCGCACGAACAAGAGGGTTCATATGCCTCTTCTACAAAGTATGCCAACGTGGTTGCTGTGTCGACAAAAGTAGCATGATCATGCTCTAAAAACTGTTAGATAAATGGGCAAGATTTTCCCATTGACTGCAATGCTTTCAAAGTTGATTGCATAATAAGACTTCTTGAAAATAGTAATTAAAACTAGTTATATTAACTCAAAAGAAAACATATTCATCAAAGAGTAATTGAAAGCAGTGTATATACATAATTTTACAAACAAATGCTAAAAGATAGCATGGGATTACTGTAGAAATTTCCCTTTGGTAATGGACCCAGGCGCGGAGCTTCAAAGAACTAGGGTTGTCCGAGGTTTGTCTTAACTTTAGCCCGATGTACTTGTGTTGGGTTGGGTCAGCCCAACGTGCTGTAACTAAGATTTAGGGAACTTTAACGAAAAGCACCCGGTACTGTTCACTTTAACGAAAAACCACATTTTTACACTAAAAAGTCAATCCTGGTACTATTCATTTTACCCTTTATTTTGTCCTTATCATTAAAACTCAAAGTTTTCAAGCCCTTTTCATTAGTTTTCCTAAGCTTGTACCATTTAAAGGATTCATGTCTATTTCACTACTCTAGCATAAGCTATGGCAAGGTATGCATGGAGTGTTGCAAGACGGCAAAGGAGAAAAAATGACGGAACATTAAAACAACATTTGCTTTCTTAAGGTTGTTTGGTGCTAAATGAAACTATAGCCACCTGCTCCTATGATCCAATTAATTTTCGATAATCCAATCGGCATATACCCGTATTTTAAATTTTAAATTCCCTTCTAACACTTCATTTGTGTGTGATTTGTTGTGGTTCGCATCAGCTGATAATAAAATCAGAATAATAGTTTGATGATCTTAGTTAGTACCAATCTCCTTATGTTATTCTCATGGTTTTTTTCTTGACAAATGTTAAGATAATACTAAACTCACTTAAACCACGGGGGTGGAGATTCGAACACGCGACTTCATATGCAAGGGCACCTGCTCTTACCCAAATAAGCTACAAGCCAATTGCGTATACTTGGGATTATTCAAGCTTCCTATCTCATTAGAACAACATAATCGAGCAAGAGAAGGATTTTGGGGTTCAATTTGGTGGATGGTATAATTTGTTTCTTATAATCATTGTACACTTGTAGTGTGGTGCAAAACTTAATTTCTGAGTTACTAGTCTTCTCCAAATCCACTAGTATATATAGTTGAAACTAAAAATTGCTTTCAATAATCTCTAGGTCTTGACAAGGTTGGATGAAACTGAGAATATTTTTTCATGCATGACTTTTGCAAGAAAATACAATTTGTCAAACATTAATAGTTAATAAGTTAGCCAAATCAAATCCCAAACTATATTAGTTCTATTTCAATATAACAGTCAGGAAATTCTGAAGCACCACCAAAACAAAGGAGAGTACATAGTAATTAATATACGACAATGTAACATTAGCTTTTACGTGGATCACCACCACTTGTTAAATTCATGATCGCACTACTAGTCGTTAAATATAACAATGCATACAATATAATTGGCATACTCGAGAATTTTCGTAACAAGAGATGTCCTACACGGGGCTACGAGGACTAAAGAGTGACTCAATATCTGTTCTGGGGAAATAGTCCAAAATAATTTGAACACAATCCGATTGCAATTTGCAATGGTATCCTTCATTGATTGGATGGGAAGGTGAGCTGGATGCTAAATCACTACATCACCCCTTTGAACCAATCAGGAAAAGGATCAAGATACACATCGATTCTGGATAGGATTCTGGATCTCACAGGACCCCCCCCTATAAATACAGAACCAACAGATTCTGCACGCTCAAACCATCAAACAATTTCATCATCATCTTCTCTCTCTCTCTCTCTCTCCCCCCCCCCCCCAATGGCAACTATGGCTCTCTCATCCCCATTCACTGGGAAGGCCATTCCTCTGAACACACAGACAGAGTTCTCAGCTGTCCAAGGAAACGGTAGGGTTTCTATGAGGAAGACGGCGAAAAAGCCTGCTGTCTCATCAGGGAGCCCCTGGTACGGCCCTGATCGTGTCAAGTACCTTGGCCCATTTTCCGGTGAGGCTCCATCTTACCTAACCGGAGAGTTCCCTGGTGACTACGGATGGGACACTGCTGGGCTATCAGCAGACCCCGAAACCTTTGCCAAGAACCGTGAACTTGAAGTCATTCACTCAAGATGGGCAATGCTTGGTGCTTTGGGCTGTGTTTTCCCGGAGCTTCTCTCCAGGAACGGAGTCAAGTTTGGAGAAGCAGTGTGGTTTAAAGCCGGAGCTCAAATCTTCAGCGAAGGTGGCCTCGATTACCTTGGAAACCCAAGCCTAGTTCATGCACAGAGCATTCTAGCAATCTGGGCAACCCAGGTGGTTCTCATGGGTGCTGTTGAGGGTTACCGCATTGCCGGAGGACCCCTTGGTGAGATCACCGACCCACTGTACCCAGGAGGCAGCTTTGATCCTTTGGGACTTGCAGATGACCCAGAGGCATTTGCAGAGCTTAAGGTCAAAGAACTCAAGAATGGAAGGCTTGCCATGTTCTCAATGTTCGGCTTCTTTGTGCAGGCTATTGTCACCGGAAAGGGCCCCATTGAGAACCTTGCTGATCATCTGGCTGACCCTGTTACCAACAACGCTTGGGCTTATGCCACCAACTTCGTGCCCGGGAAGTGAGGACACCTAATCAGTGTGTACAATAGATGATTTTTAAGCTACCTACTTGTATGTAAAATTAAGCTTCAAAAAATGCATCAATGGGGAATTTTAACTTGATCTTGAAAACTTGTACATCCATTGAAGCTAGATTATACAATTTACTGTCATATCTATTATTTTCTTATTACAGTTCACAACTCCAGATTTTTCATGCGAACTGCAAAAATGGATAAATCAGCTAAACATACCTTGTGTTTTGCATCAAGGACCCAAAAGAAAAATGAACACTAAATATAAAGGACACCTATCACCATATCGCAACCTAGCTGGTCTTCTACTTATGCTATGCAATTCAGAGAACAAGAATTTGCAGATGGCAGACCAGTGTGAAAACTGTGAGACTCTTACTCATGATAGCAGGACCGCTGTTACTAAAACAGCCGTTAAAAACATGATTGCTGGAAAGAAAACGCCTCGCCATGTGAAACATTAAATCACCAAAATACCAACTTGACTCTTCTGCGTTCATCAACTGACATCTAAAGATTCAGAGAACTCAAGCATTTGCATTCCTCTCCCAGCTACTGCAATCTGATAATGGTTCCTAAACAAAACATAAAGAATATTTGGTAAAATGTCAAAGAAGTATGGTATCAGTTCATATCATGCTGATATACTAAATCATTCTGCTATAAAGGTAGTTGTGAATCTATGTTAGTACGAGGCACTTTACTCACCGGCCACACACTTTAGCATCCAGCGCTTCTGGCTCTGGCACACTTATGATGAAATAAGAACCCTTGATTAGTTTACCTTCATCCTCTAGACGCCAGCACCTGACACGTTGATCAAGACCAGTGGAAAAAACCCAAGATCCATCTGTCCAAACACCTTCATAAATAAAACACAAATTGATTACACAGTAAATACAGTGAATTTCAGCAAGAAAAATTACTAACACTAGTCCTTCAAAGGTTCTAGGAAAGGAGACGTAAAAAAAAAAAAAGAGTTTAAAAACAAAGGGTCTTTATTCTCAACATTGGGAATTACTCTACAATGGGATAGTAATCAGGTTTCAAAGAATTTCCTTTACCTTTTACAGCAGAGCTGTGAGCTGAAGGGACTTTATCATGATTTAGGAATCTGATCCAATAGTTCTTGTCTTGACTAGAGTGAATAATTTTTTTTGTACTTCCAAGTTCAGTGACTGAATTTGTAATTTCCAGTGCCATATTCTCAGATCCAGTGTTTGATGCTGAAACTGACAATTCAAACGTAAGACAACTAAGCGCTTGATCATCACCGCCACTAATTAAATTGTACAGAAACCCAATTTCAGGACTTCGACAACCCTCTACATCTGAAACATGGAGAGAATTGACACCCGATTGATGAATGGTCTTGAAAACAACTAAAGGAGATATTTCACATATATCAGATGAGGAATCAGAAGCATTCACTTCGGAAGCAGTATCGTCAGCTTGGGAAGAAACTGTTCTGCTCTCGTGATCATTTTGCATCGATGTCATTCCATCCACAATGTGATTAGGCAAATTGCATTTAGTTTCCTCTCCAGCTTTTACAGTGGTGGAACCAGTGCCAAGTCTATTCTTTGACATGCTACTGCCTAAAGATCTCCACTGTCGTCCACCCTGACTTCCCCTCCCTGTCCGTGGCCTTTTCTGACAATCAATGAACTTTGCAACATCAAGTACTGATACAAGTTGCATGAAAGCTTGAATGCTTCTGGTGAGGTCCCAAAAGGCAATACTTCCGTCAGTAGCCCCACTAATGAGAATATACAAACACCCCCTCTGAACATTATCTGCAAATCAAGTTATTAGAGACAATACTTTGAAAATATAAATTCAAAACATCAAAACATAAAATTCGGACAAAAGTGAAATACAAATAATATTCACAACCCAGCAAGAACGTGCTTAGGCAGTATAAAAATCATGACAAGGGACAAAGCTCAGGTTACAAAGAGGAAAGTGACCGTCTAGATTTTCAAGATATGAGGCTCGCAATTATCTCAAAAATATCAACCTGGAGTTCAGAGAAAGGTATTCTATGCATTATAAATTCATAGGGGTGTCGAGTTTAATTTAAAATATGAAAAACCTTCTCTTATGTTCAACTAAAGGACTTTAGATGCATCAGTTGTGACAGTACCAGTAGTCCAAGGAAAAAAAAGGGGAAAACATCAGATCAGAGAAGGCTATGTGTACAGACTTTAATCAGTACAAGGTTCATCCCAAATTCAAAAGAGGGATCCAGAAATTTAAATTGGTGAAATTTCTCAATCCCATACACCTATTTCTCAAGCCCATATATGATCCATTCAACGACTGACCTTCAGAAGGGACGCATGTGGGAAGGATGACATGCTGCAATGCCAAAACTGGTGATGATAGAGGAACCAACACAGAAACATCAAACCTACAGTATCATAGAGGAATGTCATATATGAACTATGAAGTGATGCGAAAATCATTAAAAATAGAAGATAGGGTTCCCTCATTAATACCATAGCCTATAGGGCAAAACTAGAGCCCGCAATGCAAGGGTGGCATCTGAACAAGCAACAACAATAAAACAAACGGTAATCCTGAAAGAAATCGAGAACTTGGAATTAGATCAAAAAGAGAAATTAGATAAGAATAGCAAACAATTAGTCATTTCCTATTACCTGGAACCAGCACATTTGACCAAAAACGCAGTGACAGCCAGGTATCTCCAGTCATCTTCATATTTATCCTTAACTGAAGATTTGAACTCCATATTTCCCTTTTTTGAAGACACTAATCTAGATCCTGCATCAGCATCTTCAGTAGAAACATTCCCTGCTAGACCAATTTTTTTCCCTATATTGTCTGGAAATTTTGGATTACTAGAATACTTGACTGGCATATCTGTTGAAAGCCACTGGAATGACATTGAAGATGACTCTTGCGACAAAACTTTATTTCCATTTCCAGTGATGTTATGCTGCTGATCAGATAGTATTTCATCCTTTTTGTTCACCTTATTACTTCTTAGTAGCCAAGAAGTTAAGACCCGCTTTGCACCAACTGAAATCAATAAAACTGGAGTTTCTCTGTTCTCTGCTGCTGCATTTTTTTCATTTATGCTGGCCGCATCTGATGGAACAATGTATAACTTTGACACACAACATATTGATCTCACAGCTGATCCACCAACATGCTCCCCAAGCAATTTTGATGCAGACCAATTTTCAACACCTGGCGTATACCTAAGTAAATCATTATACATTTAGCTGGTTTTGCATAACCCTCTGAAAAAACCCCAGTTTCATAGCGGAGGTGCTCAACTACTTTCTCTCTTTTTTTTTTTAATTTTAGAAAGTAAATTGCTAATAATTGTAACCATACCTAGTCAACCTCACAGTTCCATCTTCACACCCAGTAGCCATCCAACTAGATCCAGTGAATAGGCTGTACTTCTCATCTACTCCAGGTTGCAAATCTTCAGAGACAAAGCATATGGAATGCATCTCTCTCCCATGAAATTGCATATGCAAATTCCTGGAGAGTATCTTCCTTTCACCATCAAGCACCCATCGCCTATGGATATAAATGATCTCATCCTGAAATTCAAATGAATATTATGCAGACTTTTAGTGCAGACTTTAAGATAAATACAACATTTCTATAAACTTGATGAAAACTTACTCTTTTCTATTTCAAAGTAAGCAAATGAAATGTATACGGAATGATCAAATGAAAAGATAGAGTAATGTGCCTAGCAGAAAAAGAACATTTAATGGCATAAATAAAACTAAAACAACTCATATTGTAGCCTGCTATGGATGTCTACTTTTTGGTCAATTACGAACCTTAACATATGCAAAACAGTTCTTTATTTCTGGTATATCACCAAGATAATAGGAATGCGGCCGCCTCCATCCACCACATGGAATTTGGACAACCTGGAACATATATGGACCCTCAGGCACCAAAATAAATAACACAAAAAACTTACAATCGTTTCAGGGGAAGAAGTTATAGGTACAGCCATACAGGAAGGGACAATACCTTGGTTTCAGTTATTAAATTCCAAATTATAAAATCCACTGATGCAAAACCAGCAGCACAATGACAGGTTGACAACTCATTAACAGAGCTATTATCAGAAACAGATTCAATAAGACTCAACTCTTTCACTTGTTTCATCCCTATAAATTGCAAACTCTTCATATCTCTTTCATACTCCAGATAGCATATACACCCATCTGCTCCTGTCTGAGAAACTGGGAAATTAAGAAAGCAGTCGTATTTTCTCTGGTAACAGCTATAAAGTGTTTCTAATAAAGAAAAGGGAAAAGGTAAAGTTTAAAAGGCATTACAATTTCTCACTACTCACTATACACAAAGACACACACACAAAGACACACAAATAACTTCGGAAATAATGGAAAGCAAGTGTTATAATAAGTCATCACTCTTGCAGATTAAAAGTCAATTGTGACCATACCGAGCGTATTTCAATCTTTTCGGAGCTTAGTCTAGCAACAGCCAAACTTGAAACACTTGATATTCCATGAGCTCCTTTGAAGTAATTGGACGGAGATATTTTCATGTTAGGTTCTACCGTTCCATGCAAGACACTCTTCAACAGAGGGAACAAAACAAGATTACCACGTATATCTCCACATACCAATACCTACAAAAATCAACCATAAGATAATAAAAACAATTAAGTTTATCTGGACTATACCAAATAGTTTCTAAAGAAATTAGACTAATATCAGTTTTCTCTAGATTTAATTCAAGAACTGAAAAGTTAACCAAGCCGCATCTTCTTTTCACATGATCAACAATTCATGTATAATCTCTTATAAATTTAGGCACACGGTTAAATATTTCCTTAGACTTATCCTTAAAGTCTTCATATCTCTCTGTACCTGAGCAGTAGTCATAGTCTCCTTTTATCTAACATACAAGAATATTCAATAACATGATTTCATTGTGCGTGCGTGCATGTGTGTGTGTGTGTGTGAGAGAGAGAGAGAGATGAACAAACACTAATGTTGGGAAGGATAGGATATAAAATATGTCGCTTAACACAACAGTGACCACCATGTGTTATATTTTGTCTTAATTTAAGCTGGCCAGTGTCAACCCACACTCCACGGGGTTTCTCTGGTATTTAAATATTTCTTCGTAGTGATTCTGGACACTTCATGCCAATCAAAGGACCACGTGCAAACCCATTCAAATGAAATTAAGAGGTAAAAAAAAGACAATGGAAAACAGTTACCTCTTCCTCCAACAATGCCAAGGTTTAAGACGAAAAGGAAATAGGATCTTGATCTGAATGTTGTCTGTTAACCAGTTTTTTGGAAATTCTTTTTCTGATAATTGAACGCCGTTATAGGTACATTTAACATGCATTTCTCTATTCCAATCCTTTAAGTCCTCATACCATTCCGGAAATTGAAATAATAGTATACGGACGATATTTTTAGCTAACAGTTACCTCTTCCTCCAACAATGCATCCAAACACATTATTCGAGTTCCAAAAATTGATGTGAACTCTGCCATAAGAAAGACATTGCAGCTCCTTGCAGAATGGTCAGACAACCTCCAGAGCTTTAATGTTCCTCTAGGATCGGCGGTGAAGATATACCTACATGGTATGAACAGAAGAATTGGTGATTTAAATATTTTAAACTTCTGCATCTAAAATTTAAAGCAAGGCTTGGATGATGTCTATCATTGGAAATTTAAGTGGCATGGGTATACCATTCTAGAAAGTGGAACACTGGTATGTGTAGTCATTGTATGATATGGACCACCCTTGCCAATTATGGACAACATATATCTAGAATGAAGACCTTGATAACATAGTTGCAATGAAGAAATCAGGTATTGAAGAGAAAATTGATAATTATTTTTTAATAGAGCAATGACTAATCATTACCCAGAACCTAGTGACTTGGACCAATGTGTTCCTAGGAGTTGCCTCTCTATCCCAGCTGACCAAGTAAGGGAGAAACCCACTTTAGGAGTACAAGCATCACGTATAACCCCAACTATTGTAACGTTTCCTTTTCCGTCTCCAACAGAAACCCAGTCCTCAATGCTGGAGCAAAATTCAAGTGGTTCTGACAACAAATCCATACAAACAATCTGGACCTCCTGACTGAGGCGGACGAGTTCAGTCCATTCAACTTCTCCAGTGTTCAATAATCTAGCATGGTACAGATAGCCGTGGTTTGTTGAAACATAAAGGGTATCCTCACGTGCAAAGCTCAAGCAACGGACGTATTCGCTTTTGCTGGACCAAATCAGAAAAAGGAAACAGTATTTCTTAATACCAATGTAAAGTAAGATAACATTACTATATTTACTATCAAGCAATGGACGTATTCGCTTTTGCTGGACCAAATCAGAAAAAGGAAACAGTATTTCTTAATACCAATGTAAAGTAAGACAACAATACCATATTCACTAGAGTTCAGGAAGACAACATCTAAGAAACATAAACCAAAATAAGGAAAATGCATGTGCATATATAAGTGATTATAAGGTTTGCTTGGATTCTGAATATTGAAGAATCAATTTTTAGGCCTCAACTACCCTTCCCCTGATCGTTCGCAACACATTAAAAATTTCTATAAAACATCCTCAAGAGAAATGAGATTTAAGAAGTTGGACTCTTACAGCCACAATACTTCTTAGCTGTGGTGCCAATGAATCAAAACCCTAGATCAGCAGGTGGAGGACCAAATTGTTATATAGCATTTTCTAATACAAAACAATATTTTACCAAGACTACAAACTTAAGTTTTTATTTGTTTGGAGTTAAGAATTTGGGAAGGACCCCAAAACCTTCTTCAATAATCAAAGCATTACCTGTCCATAGGTCCAATATTCTCTGAAAAAGTAGGGATATGAACTGTGTATGCAATCGTTCTATTAAATTCTTTTGTATCTGCATGTCCCTCCAGGCTCCCAGAGGATGTGTGCAGCTGATGCACTTTAATTGCAGAATCAAAACCAGCAGTAATGAGAAGCGAAGAGTTTGGATCATACAAACAACGCCATATGCCCCTTCCTCTGCATATAACAGGACCACAAAAAGGGAATGATCAAGGCTGTTACCAGAACAGCAACGTTTCTGGAATCACTACCAACAATTTTTTTTTCTGTAAAATTTATTCTTACTATTTCTACAACCATTTCATTTACAGATTCAAGTTAAATAAAAATGAATTCAAATCATTGACAGAAAAAGAACCACAAGGCACTTACGTGTGCTCCTTGATCATCTGAAGGTGTTTACCATCCAGTCCCCACACACGACATGTGCAATCCTCGCCAGCAGTGACAATCAACTAAAACAAATAAATGGTTTTGGAATCAGCAATCCATACATTAGGAATTTTATAATCTAGTCTAAATCACCAGGACCATTTCCATCATGAGTTAATCACACGCGAGACAAACCCAGTGTGATTACGTAAAAAGTTCGAAGTTGACTTGGATAATTGATTTTGGAAAGTTTATTCTTCTCACCCTACATATTGACACAGTGATTAAATGGCATGCTTAGAGATAGATAGGATTGAAAACCCAATCAAATGAAAAACTTACCCCAGGATTTAACTGAAGCTAATAATCTGTTCTTATCTATGTTGCTTTGACACGGTGAGTTGATTTTCCAATGATGTTATTTTGTTTGGACAGTAGAGAAACAAAAAAGAAGGGAGAAGAAGAAGACAATGACTGCTCAAAAGCTTTTGTAAAGCTTACCGAACCAAGAATACAGCAGTCCCAAACTCGGGCATTGTGACCAAACAGCACAAGGCCAATGGACTCTCCTGGATTCTCAGAATGCTTTGTTTCCGCACAAGCTGCCCAGACACGAGCACTGTACCAAAGAAGAGACCAAGTTATTGAATGGAAACACTCTCAAGAGGAAAACACATGATAGTTGTTTTAGGATCATAGAATCAACAAATTCACCTACGATCGTCAGAGACAGAAACCAATTTGGTTCCATTAAAGGACCAGGCTATCCGAAAGATGGAACCTTCATGTCCAACAAGTTTGCTTACATGAACAGCTTCATACTGGCAAGCATGAGGCTGAACAGAGTCTGAGAACGAATTTATCTGATCAATACCGTCTTCTACTTGATTTGTTAAAGATGCAGCATTATACTGAGACACCACTTTCCATACAATGATCTGTGGAAACCCAATTCTTTGAAAGTTAAGAACTTAAGAAAAACAGAAAAATCAGTACATTAAGACTATTAATAGGGGCATAGGGGGAAAGGCGGTGATTCACAGAATATGTAATGAATCAGATCCTTTTGAAAGATTTTTGTAATTATGAATCTATGATAGTTTTCTTGTCTTTTTTTCATTTCAAAACCTCGGTGAAACTTAGAAAAGTAGAACAGTTTAAACACGCTTTGGGTGCATATAATAATCATTTGGGTGGGTGGGGAGAATCATGGAAAGAAAAGACTAGGCACCTCATTATAGATGGTACCAGATGCAACACGGAGAGCTTGAAGATTGTCTCCCCATAACCGCATTGAATAAAGAAGGGTCCTCTCTACAGTTCAAATAAAAATTTTAGTACTTGAACTTCAAATAAAAATCTGAAATCTAAAAAGAAAGCTCAAAACAAATTAGTTAATTCAGTTAGAACTAACTAACCAGGATGTCGAACTTCAAGAACCACAGCAGAAGCTGAGACATCCCATAGATGGACAGAGTTGTCACTACACCCTATAGCAAGACAATCACCCTCCCCATATGAGCCACTCACAGAGCCCTGCTACCAATTCACCAATCAAACAACAAAAACTTCTCAACTCCACAACCCGTGTAAGCTAGCTGGAAACCCATTAGTTAATGAGAAAAAGCATTAGAATTTGAAGTTTTACCTTAAAGAAGGAAACATCCAAGACCCAATTTGAGAACTTTGGCAAGGATTGCAATAGAGTCAAACTGACATTGACTTGCTGCACCGTTTCAATCTGCAAACTAAACAACTTCACTCTTCTTTCGCCGAACACGGAAATTTTGAAAGCAATAGAAGACGCCAGTGTTCCCTCTGCGCGTTCAGTACTAGAACCAGAGCTATAACAGATTATCCCGTGCACTCGAATCCCTTGGAACACGTCGAACGATCTCACCATTCTTCCCATTTCCAAATCATACACCATGATTTGCGAACCCGACCCTGTTTTGTGCAATCAAATCAAGATTACAATGAATTTGAAGCTGAAAGGTTTTAGAGAGACAGAGAGAATCGTACCTGCGAGTAGGTAAGGGAGAGCAGAGAGGGGAGAAGGAAGGTGGAGGAAGCAAAGGGCTGAGATTTCTCCGAGGTATTGGCCGCTCTGCAGACGCCATGAACTGCTCTTCTTCTCCACTGCCATAGCCATGCTTTTGCCTTTGCGCAGTGCTCAAACTCCTTTGCTTCGTTTGTTGTCCGAGTTTCCGACTCAACCGTTTGAACCGTGAAGGGTTTAAGCGTTTTGATGGGCCTTGCCGGGCTGGACCCAAATATTCGGCCCAAACAAAGTCATTAAAAGGCAAAAGAAAAGATAAACCCAAGAAATAGAATCATCTCGTCTGCAGTAGCATTGCGTTTGCGGCACTCATTTCTTCTTCTTCTTCTTCTTGTTCCTTGCTCCTATCTCAGAGAGTCAGAGACGTACCGACACGAACAGAGTCGGAGAGACAGAGCGACAGACAGCGATGGGTCGAACAAAAACATTCAAGGACGAGTTTACATTTGGTGTGTTGGGATTCTTCAAACAAAATCTTTGCTCCTTTTGTTTGTTATTGTTTTTGGAATCGGGCTGAGGCTGATATGTAAATCTTTTGAAATTGTTTTCTTCAGATCAAAGGATTGAAGAATCATGGGACATGGTGACCAAATACCCTGATCGAGTCCCCGTAAGTTGTTCTTCTGAATTGTGGGCCCAACTCTGTTAATCTTCCGTATTATTAGTCTTAATATATATATATATATATATATATATATATTTTGGTAATTTGAAGTAGAATACCATTTGCGATTGAAGTGAAAGAGTTTAAATCTTTGATATTCATATTTACTGTAGGTAATTGTGGAAAAGTATGCGAGGAGCAATCTTCCTCAGATGGAAAAGAAAAAGTAAGTTTATAGACCTCTTTCGTGTGCAAATCACAGTTTGTCGCATATGCAAACGTAACTCATCAGAAACACCAAACCGAAATAGTAAGGAGCCTAGGGTTATGTTTTCCATTTAGGTTAAAGGTTGTCTTGGCCACCAGCATTTAAATATTTATGTTAGTTTCCTTGATGCCAAGGACCCAATAGGATATACATGCATGATACATACAAATGAACTTGATCTCTGATCGATTATCTCTTGGATGACAGATACCTTGTCCCTCGAGACGTGTCCGTCGGCCAATTCATTTACGTTTTGAGCAGCAGACTTCACCTGGCCCCTGGAACAGCTCTCTTCGTTTTTGTGAAGGATACTTTGCCTCAAACAGGTATATTCAAGTCAAGTTACTTCCGTGTATCATCAGCATCAGCATCAGCATTCTGGTTTCGGTATTTTGTCATGTATATACAATGATAATATAGCAACAGCTCTCTTCGTTTTTGGCAATGTGATTTGCAGCTAGTTTGATGGATTCTGTGTATGAATCGCTCAAGGACGAGGATGGATTTCTGTACCTGTGTTATAGCACTGAGAAGACCTTTGGCTTTCATCATCAATGAAATGATGATGCCAATCTTCACACAAGATCTTGAACAATGATTTCCTCTACTTTCATACTTCTCTGTCTCGGTATCTCTATATGCATCATATGCAGACTTTATTCATCAATTTCCCCAAAAAAAGGAAGGCTTCAAATTTTAGTTCTTCAAACTTCATCTCAAACCTTGCTCTTGACAGACATTGTTTAACTTAGAATTGGGTGAATTTGATCCGCGATTGACATTGCCAATGTAGGAGTGGTGTATCTGATTCTTATCCACGCAGCAACTTTTACCATGCAGACCTTCAACTGATGCTACATTCTCTAGCAATCTTGTTAGGAAGTTCCACGTCCAAACGCACCAATGAGCCTCAGTGTATTTTTAAAATGTTGTCGCCACTTTATTGATTCAAATTAACACTCTAGATTGAAGCAAGAAAGTGGTAATGAACCCCTCTTTTTTTTCTTTTTTTCTTTTTTTTTTGAAGTGCAAAATATATCGAAAACCCAAGAAAAAAGGGGGGAAATGAACTAATTGAAAACCGAACTGAATACCGAATTGAAACCGAAAAAAAATCAAACCGAAAGCTATTGGTTCAGTTTCAGTTTTGATGGTTTGGAAAATAAACTGGCGTGAACCGAATTGAATGAGATATAAAATAATATTTTATCTATTTATTTATGTTTTGTATTCATCTTTTAAAACTAATTTTGAGTCAATCTTTAGCCAAATTTCAATCTAAGCCTAGGCAAACCCAACTTAAGGCTCAAATATGTTGAACCTTATTCGCTATATATATTTTTTTTCATTTTCTCTTCTATTTCTGCGGGAAAAAAAAAATTGAAGAAATCTAAAGACCAAAAGGGACCAAACCAAAAGAGATCTAACCATAATATTTCGGTTTCTCCTTTACAGATTGCAAAAACAGAACTGACTAGTAATTTCTAAAATTTGAACCAAATGAAACCAAACTCACCCCTAGTTTTAGATGCATTGTGTTCGAACTTACTGTTTTCGAATTATGTTCTGCATCCACAATTATCCCGATTCCAAATCTCCAAATATGTCGAAATTTTCGATTCAATCCGATTTGATTCTGAAATTTTGAAATGAAAATTAGAAACGTTTCGGATCCTATCCTTCCGAAAAAACACCCTCAGTACCAAGTTAGGCTTCCTTTAATTTGAATGGTATTGGTTCAGATTGTAATTATTCAAGGAGCATATTGCTGCCACTAGTTAATATGAATGAAAAGTCCATTTTGCATTTGACAGCCTTTGGTACATTCGTTTCATTCAGCCTGAAGAAAGCCAGCAAGAGTTTCCAAACTGAAATAACAACTATGAATGCGGGTTCAATACAAGAAGAAAATTATATCTCAAGAATGGTTGGTGCATCTACCAATCAATAGATGGTTTTCAGGAGAAACGCTTGACGGAACGTATTTGACAAACTCTGCTTCTAATCCTCGTTCCTTCATCCACATTAACCTACCCATGTCTATAATCTGCTTGCACATAAAACCTAACACAGCCCTTTCAACTGCCTTCATATTTCGCACACAGTCTTCAACTCCATCGTCCGTGCCACATTGCTTCCTTTCACTGTCACAACATAGTTCTTCCACTGATTAGCAACCGTTCCAAAACAAGAGAGAAAAAGGGAAAGCTATCTCGTGGAAAGCGTTAACCATAGATCAGGCTATTCAAATAAACACAAGTTCAAGATGATTACATGGATTCTAAATGCGGTCTGCAATCAGTAACATCAGGAAGATTAGCACCGTGATCAGCATCTACTGCCCAACTAGTAAACCATGTAATTGCATGGAATACCTCTTTGGTGATACCCAACTCTAATAAATATTTTTTATCTGCAGGGAAGCCAATTTTATACAGCCCGTTTAACGATGAAAAGATATCCGCATGTAATTTAAATGACATATTACTTCAACAACTAATTTATGAATTTTATGGCAAGAAAAATTGATTAGTGATTACTTATGTAGTGCTTCCACTGGCAAAGATGATGACAACATGTTGCTATAGCCAAACCTCTCAGGTTTGGGTTAACACTGCGCCATTCGATATTGCTTTGTAAGTGTTCCCCAAGGCAACATCTCAGAGTTAAATCTGCATAAGAAACATACAAACAATTTTAACATGAAATACAATGATTGCTATGAGACTCTAACTTCTTCTCTATAAGTGATGACTTCTGTCGTTCTGTGGCTTTAAGATGAGTTTATCGTTGACTACCTGTTGCAGGCCCACAAAGATGCTTCCCAATAGCCAGGTACTGACCTCCCCGCAATGACTCAACAGCATTCAAGTTTAAATCCTCAACTGCAAAAGTTAAAATTTGAACTATAACAAAGTATCCGCCATCTTATATATACAACAACAACAACAAAGCATTTTCCCACTAAGTGGGGTCGGCTATATGAATCCTAGAACGCCATTGCGCTCGGTTTTGTGTCATGTCCTCCGTTAGATCCAAGTACTCAAGTCTTTTCCTAGGGTCTATTCCAAAGTTTTCCTAGGTCTTCCTCTACCCCTTCGGCCCTGAACCTCTGTCCCGTAGTCATATTTTTGAACCGGAGCGTCAGTAGGCCTTCTTTGCACATGTCCAAACCACCGGAACCGATTTTCTCTCATATTTCCTTCAATTTTGGCTACTCCTACTTTACCTCGGATATCCTCATTCTCAATCTTCTCCTTTCTCGTGTGCCCATACCTCCCACGAAACATCCTCATCTCCGCTACATCCATTTTATGTACGTGTTGATGCTTCACCGCCCAACATTCTGTGCCATACAACATCGCGGCCTTATTGCCGTCCTATAAAATTTTCCCTTGAGCTTCAGTGGCCTACGACGGTCACACAAACACGCCGGATGCACTCTTACACTTCATCCATCCAGCTTGTATTCTATGGTTGAGATCTCCATCTAAGTCTTCGTTCTCTTGCAAGATAGATCCTAGGTAGCGAAAACGGTCACTTTTTGTGATCTTCGCTAGATTGCTCCGGTAATTAGTGTGGATAAGTATATAAATGGATAGAGATAGGAAAACAAACACAAGATGTACGTGGTTCACCCAGATTGGCTACGTCCACGGAATAGATGAGTTCTCATTAATTGTGAAGGGTTTACACAAGTACATAGGTTCAAGCTCTCCTTTAGTGAGTACAAGTGAATGATTTAGTACAAATGACATTAGGAAATATTGTGGGAAAATGATCTCGTAATCACGAAACTTCTAAGTACCGGAGTGTGGTATCGTCTTGACTTGCCTTATCTGTCTCATAGGTAGATGTGGCATCTTCTCTGGAAGTACTCTTCCTCCATCCAGGGGTGGTATCTGTAACTGGTGGAGATGCACAAGGTAATGTATCAATTTCACTTGAAGCTTACTTGTAGTTTCAGGCTTGGTCAAGCGCGATACAAACCATGTAGTAGGAGTCCCCCAAGTCGCCGAGCTAGGGGATCTGCTGAAAGAGGTGACAGACAAGGTAAGCAATCAGAGCTCCGGCTGATTGTTCACATTCTCCCCATCTTGCAGGCAGCATGAAGGATAAAGAGAAGAAAAATGAGAAGAGATGATATGGGATACTTTTGCTTTTGAAGAAGTAACTTTCCACAGGCTTATTCTTGAACTGGGCTGGAGGGTTTTCTGGTTTTTTCCAGAGTATAAGGCCGACTGAAGAATTTGAGGGTCAAAACAAGTCCATCAAATCTAGAGTACGTTCGACCCTGCTGATATGGGATACTTTTGCTTTTGACAGAGTAGTGGATGTATCGGCACGTGTGCTGTTACGCTTGTCTCCACAT